AACATGAGGATTGAGGAGATCTACCTCTCAAACAAGGTTTTTTTTTTTTTTTTGAGATGGAGTCTCACTCTGTTGCCCAGGTTGGAGTGCATTGACATTGATCTCAGCTCACTGCAATCTCCGCCTTCCAGGTTCAAGCGATTCTCCTGCCTCAGCCTCCTGAGTAGCTGGGACTACAGGTGTGTGTCACTATGCCTGGCTGTTTTTTGTTTGTTTTTTGGTTTTTTTTTTGCATTTTTAGTAGAGATGGGGTTTCACCATATTGGTCAGGCTGGTTTTGAACTCCTGACCTTGTGATCTGCCCACCTCAGCCTCCAAAGTGCTAAGATTACAGGCATGAGCTACCGTGCCCAGCTTCAAACATGAAGTTTGATAAGCTTGACTAAGGAAGAGAAGGTAGGGAAAAGAGGAAATTGGATTTCCTGGTTTGATTTTCATTCTTCTGAAAGTTGTTATAGACTTCAGTTGCAGCAAGATAGGTAGTAATGCTTACAGGTTGAAAGTACAGGACAGAATGGGTATTTTTTTTGTTTTGTTTTTGAGATGGAGTTCTGCTCTTGTTGCCCAGGCTGAAGTGCAGTGATGCAATCCTGGCTCACTGTAACCTCCACCTCCCAGGTTCAAGTGATTCTCCTGCCTCAGCCTCCAGAGTAGCTGTGATTACAGGCGCCCACCACCACGATTTTCGTAAATTTTTTAGTAGAGACCAGTTTTCCCCATGTTCACCAGGCTGGTCTTGAACTCTTGACCTCAAGTGATCCACCCACCTTGGCCTCCCAAAGTGCTGGGGTTACAGGCCCCGCCCAGAGTGCGGGGCTACCACACCCCGCCCAGAGTGGGTGTTAATCAACCCCGTGGCATGGAATGAGTCAGGAGACCAGGAAATTGAAAGAACAGGTGGAAGGATCATAGCTTCTCCTTTAAGAGGAGAGGGAGAGGGAGTTCAAACCTGACAGCTTCAATGTTTTCCATGAAGTAGGAGGCAAGGTCAGCTGTAAGGGGAGCAGAATGGGGAGAGAGGGGGAAACAGCAAGAGCTTGAGTGTTAGCCAACGCTAATATTTTCACCATTCCCTGCATAGGGGCTTTTGGAAACAGGAAGGAACACGAGAAATACAGGCATTATGTTGCCTAGGAAACACAGTGGTTTGCTAAAGCAATAGTAAGGGCAAATCTTATTAACCCTTTCATAGCCATTGTCACCAGAGCAATCGGTGAATAGGGATGGAAGTAGAGAGAACTTTGCTCCATAGAACACACAGTGGACATCCTCTCTAGCTTGAGGAAAATATGAGGGTATGAGTAGCCCTGGGACAGAAGACTTAAATAAAATAGTAAAGACCATCAAAGGAGTGGCAGGCAGTGAGGTGTCAAAGGCATTCCCCTATTTCCTTGTGCTTGTGAGTGCCCCCCCACCCCCCCCACACTCCATCCCTTTGCATGTATACAGGTGCAATCCCACTTTCCCATCAACCAGAAATATCTAGGGCTAATATGTGGGAATTATCCTTTCTTGATTTTTCTGTTTTTGGTATGGCAAGATAATCTAATTGAAAATGAATTGTCTTCTGTTTTTTTCTGCTATGAGTTCATCACTAAACAAAATTTATCTTTTTTTCCCTTACTCTCACCACAGAGGATGGCCAGGGCTTTGTGACAAGGAGATCTGAGCTTTACTTATGCCAGCAAGAAAGTAGAGAGCACTTTGTTTCCCAAAAGTCTCTAGGTTATTGAGAGCTTTGAGCTGAACAGAGAGTGAAGGTCTCTGAGGATGAGAAAGAGTGGAGTGTGGATCAGCTATATCCCCCAAGCCTGGACACATATAGTGGTTGGGAGGCAGTGTCTCAGAGTGTCCAGGATCCATGCCCTGGTCCACACACCCGCACCCATGACTCCCCAGAAGCCCATAGGTGTGTAAATTCTACCGAGGAAGACTTTCCTTCCAGACTCAGTTGTCCTGCCTAAGCTGATGCTGGTCCATCATTTTTACTGACTTTAATCAATGTGGATGACCCATCCCACACCATGACCTTCCACTTCCTTGACTTTCTTCACCTCCAACCACGTTTTCCTCTTTGACATAATCATCTATGTAGAAAAGCCAAAGAATTCTACAAATAAGCTTCTAGAACTAATGAGTAAGTTAGCAAGGCTAAAGGATACGAGATTGACATATAAATATCAATTTGATTTCTATATTCTAAATATTTGATAGCAATGAACAATCAGGAATCAAAATGAAGAAAGAGACAATAACAACCACAACAACATTAAAATATGAAATAATTAGGGACAAAAAGTATATAACTCCATTTAGATAAATGTGTAGAAAATGCAATCTAATATATAGTGACAGAAAGCAGCTCAGTGGCAACCTGGGGATAGTGAATGAGGAAGAGCTCACCCAAAAATTTTTCACCAAAAGTTACAAGTGAACTGTGCTGTACAAGAATTATACTATATAGTCGAGATCGATTTTCTCTCCCACTCTCATTCCCTGTGATGACTCTATGATGCCATTTTCACTGTCTACAAACCTTCAGCGTCTCCTCTCTATTCCCACTCTCAGCTGATGATACTGCATTTCATTTCATTAAGAAAATAGAAGGAATTAGATGTAAACTATCTTCTCCCTGACACCAAACCCACCAAACTCTACCTGTAGCCCTATTCTCTGTTTTCCTTCTTGGTACCCTGCAGAGAGTGTCTTTACTCCTATCAAGGGCCTTCCCCTTGAACTCTGCATCTGTTTGCCTAATTCTCAAAACGCTGGCTTCCACAGTTTATCTTCTTCTCTCCTTGATCATACTTATGAGCAGATAAACATGCTTGAGTGTTTCTTCTTCTTTTTTTTTTTTTTTTTTTTTTTTGAGACAGAGTCTCACTCTGTCACCCAGGCTGGAGTGCAATGGTGTGGTCTCAGCTCATTGCAACCTCTGCCTCCTGGGTTCAGGCTATTCTGCCTCAGCCTCCCGAGTAGCTGGGACTACAGGTGTGTGCCACCAAACCCATAGTCCACACCACACCGGGCTAATTTTTGTATATTCTGTAGAGACAGGGTTTCACCATGTTGGCCAGGGGGTCTCAAACTCTTGACCTCATGATCCACCCACCTCAGCCTCCCAAAGTGCTGAGATTACAGGCATGAGTCACTGCTCTCGGCCTGTTTCTTCTCTTTTAAAACAACTTCCCTGGGACCGGGGGTCAGGAATTTGAGACCAGCCTGGCCAACATGGTGACAACGCGTCTCTACTAAACATACAAAAATTAGCTGGGTGTGGTGGCACATGCCTGTAATCCCAGCTTTTTGGAAGGCTGAGGCAGGAGAATTGCTTGAGCCTGGTAGGCATAGGTCATAGTGAAGTAAGAGAGTGCCATTATGCTATAGCCTGGGCGATGGGAGAGAAACCCTGTCTGAAAAAAAACAAAAACAAAAAAACCATCCCCTGACCCCAAATCTTCCTTCTCGCTACTGCCCTATATTTTCTGTTCCCTGTGTATCCAAATTTCTACAAAGTTTTCTCTCTATATATCATCTCCACATCCTTGCCTCCTATTGTCTCTTCCACTCACTCTACTGGGCTTTTGCCTGAATCATCCCTTCAATGCCATTCTTGTTTATGTTCTGATTCCCTGGACATTTTTGTAACTTTGTCTTTGGACTCTGTCTCTCAGAGTACCAACTACAACCCTTTGTTCTCAGAGGACTCTGCACACAGAGTACAACATTTGACAGAGTTGATCACTACACCTTGAAATACTTTCCTTACTTTGTTTCTGGGACACATCCTACATCCTTTGATGGGTTTCCTCCTTTCTTATTGACTACTCCTCAGCTTCCCATACCATTTCCACCTCCTTTGTCAGACATGCAAATGTAGGAGTGCCCCAGATATGTCCTGGGCCAGCATCTGTTCTCATTCTCTCCTCAGGTGATTTCATTCAGTCCTAAGTTTTTCATATACTTATAACTCACATATTTAAACTTTGTATGAAAGACAAAAGGCAGGAGGAAAAAATGTAAACTTTTGGCCAGGCACAGTGGCTCACACCTGTAATCCTGTCACTTTGGGAGGCTGAGATGAGTGGATCACTTGAGGTCAGGAGTTCAAGATCAACCTGACCAATATGGTGCAACCCCATCTCTACTAAAAATGCAAAAATTAGCCAGGCGTGGTGGGGGGCGCCTGTACTCCCAGCTACTTGGGAGACTGAGGCAGGAGAATCGCTTGAACCTGGGAGGCGGAGGTTTCAGTGAGCCGAGATTGCGCCATTGCACTCCAGTATGGGAGACAGAGCAAGATTCCTTCTCAAGAAGAAAATAAATAAATAAAATAAAAATAAATAATAAGGGCCGGGCGCGGTGGCTCAAGCCTGTAATCCCAGCACTTTGGGAGGCCGAGGCGGGTGGATCATGAGGTCAAGAGATCAAGACCAACCTGGTCAACATGGTGAAACCCCGTCTCTACTATAAATACAAAAAAATAGCTGGGCATGGTGGCGCGTGCCTGTAATCCCAGCTACTCAGGAGGCTGAGGCAGGAGAATTGACTGAACCCAGGAGGCGGAGGTTGTGGTGAGCCGAGATCGCGCCACTGCACTCCAGCCTGGGTAACGAGAGCGAAATTCCGTATCAAAAAAAAAAAAAATAATAAATAATAAATAATAAACTTTTTACCCTGGTCTTACCCCTGAACTCCAGATCTGTATACATTAGGCATATGTGACATCAATAGGCATCAGAATCTTTACATGTCCTAAACAGAACTTTTAATTTCATCCTTGCCTTAGTCGGTGTTCAGTGGTGAGAAACAGAAACTGCTTATTTAGAAGAGAAAAGGATGGAACACAGGGAATTAAGGGCTTACAAAAATCAGTGGAAGGGCTGGAATAACGAGCTATAGCCTCAGGGTGTAGGAATGACTACCAGGACTCTATCACTAAATAGGCCCATTAGGGGTACTGTAACCTCTGCCCTCAGTCAGAAACGGGGGTTCAGGAAGCCTCCTCTAGGATGCTGGGCTTCCAGAATAGAACAGCGCCCAGGACCGCCACGCCCGGCCCTGCAATAAGAGCCTGGCCTCTCCCTCGAGCCGCAGCTGGGCCTGGCTGCCTTCTGCGCCCGCTTGCACTGGCCGTGCCATTTCCTGGGGCTGTGCGCGCACCTCGACTGCCTGCCCGACATCTGGGCGCTGAACCACTGGAGCGTCTAGCTCACCCCTTTCTCGCGCGGCGCCACTTGCTCTTCGACGCGGCTTTCTTCCTGTGCTGCCTGCGCGAGCCGCTGCTAGTCTACCCCGACTTGGCGGAGGTGGTGGGCAGCCAGTGGTGATCTCCATCAGAGGCAACTGAAAGTTTCTTATCAAAAAAATTTTGGCTGGCACCCCCACAGTTCTACGAAATGAGAAAACTTGAAAACTTTGCCTCTCTCTGACTTGCACAAATTATGTTTGGATCGTGCATTAGAAGGACTGGAAAGGTGGCTGCCCACCACCGTGTTAGCTGCTGATGAGATGCTCCAGCTTTTACCAGATGATGAGCTAGACTTAGACGATTCAGACTTTTTAGAAAATCTTTTGTCTGCTGAAAAAAAAAAAAAAAAACCGGAAGAAATCATAAAGGGCAAGCAATTTCACCGGATAGTGATATACAATCGCCATCTTTATGATATTCACGTGACTGTTAATTGTATCACGTGACTGTTAAAAAGTATCGTTTATCCTAAGAACTCCATATTAAGAGCCATTTGTAGGGTGCTCACGCTTGTATATAAACTGGCCTACTTGAAGTCCTTCTGAATAATGAGGGTCGAATTTCAACTTGCTTAAAACTTAAGGAAATTTGTGCCTATAACAGTTATTATACAGCCATGCGTGGTGGCTCACGCCTGTAATCCTAGCACTTTGGGAGGCCGAGGAGGGTGGATCACTTGAGGTCAGGAGTTCGAAATCAGCCTGGCCAACATGGCGAATCCCCATCTCTACTAAAAATACAAAAATTTAGCTTGGGCATGGTGGCACATGCCTGTAATCCCAGCTTCTTGGGAGGCTGAGGCAGGAGAATTGCTTGAACCCAGGAGATGGAGGTTGCAGTGAGCCAAGATTGTGCCACTGCACTCCAGCCTGGGTGACAAGAGGGAGACTCCATCTCAAAAAAAAAAAGAAAAAGTTATTACAATGCAGTGTTTCTTATTTCAAGTGTTTTAGGGAGTTCTCTTGCTTATTTTATTCTTTAAACCTTACATTGTGCCATATGTATGATGTTTGTAAAGTATTAATGATCTTGTAAACAAAAACAAGAAAAAAAATTCACAATGGTTCCCACTTCTGTATTGTTTTATTATCTCAAAAGTTTAAATAAGATGTTCTTCTGCCATTGTTCTCGATGTCCACTGTATTAGCACCTTCCCTGATTTGCTTTGGATGTTGATCGGTGAATTTCTTAGACTTTCTGCTGGAATTACTTTAAGGGTGGCTGATTAGATGGTGAAAATTAGACTGAGACACCCTTCAAGTGGCCATGTCATTGTTTTCTTACTAAGTCTTTAGCTTGATGACTAAGATACAATTCTTCTTAAAACTAAATGCCATTAACTGTTTCCCAAATTAGACATCTATTTTAGTTAATATTTTAAAGAAACATGAAGCCATAACAAAAATCATTGTTTTTACTCATGAGTGTTAACGAATGTAAAGAGGTTACAGATATTTCATTAATGATGTTTATTTTTACTATATTAAATATGAGTAATTTTTCATTGTCTTTAGAGAGGAATAATGTCTGTTGATTAAAGGTGAGAAATAATAGTTAAGACACCAATTCTGTGTCAAGATCTTTGACTGTATTATGCATTGTACAATTGACTTCATTTTTCATGAAATGCCTTAGTTTTCCTACTATAAAATAAAAACAATGATGAATTAAAAGAAAGAAACAAAATAATAGAACACCATAGCTGCAACCCAGAGAAGCTGAGCCACTACCACTGCCACCATAAACTGACTCTCAACAACCATGAAACTAGTGACTGAGACACGGAAGCACTGACTTGGATTGCTACAATTATTGCAAAAGTCTCTTGACTACCATCTCTCTCTCCTCTGCCCCCTTCTCAAACATGCACACACACATGAACACACACACATTCCAGCCAACACATAACACTTGGGATGTGCAAAGCAGTATTCCAAGTTCCATTCTTATATTATTTCTATTATTATAATACCATTTTACAGGGGAGTAAACTGAGGTAGAGAGAGGTTAAGTAGCCTAAAATTACAGTTATATATATATATACAGCCTAAGAGTTGTATATGCTATTATCTGCCCTGCTCTTATCTCTGAACATTTCTTTGTCAGAGTTTTCCATGAATTTACAATTCTTCATGAACATATTTTTAATGACTGTATACGATAATATCATATGTATTTACCACAATTTATTTGGCCATTCTCCTATCTTGCATATTTAGATTTATTTCCAATTTTCTTTATGAACAGTAGCTGCAATGAGCACTCTGCATACAAATTATTTTGCCTATTTCTGATCATTTTCTTAGGATACACTCCTTAATATTCAACTCTTGGGTCATAGGCTATGAAGATTTCTAAAACCAGTATTTGAGGGTCAGTAGTTGTGAATATTTTTAATGCACTTGAATATATTAATGGGCATACCAGCCAGTAACATACGAGAATACTTGTCTCACTATGCCCTCCACACTTAAACCATGCATTTTCATCTTTTCCAGTTTTTGCTATAAGTATGCTGCATGCAATATTGACATGCTTACATTAAAAATGTGTTCACTGTTTTTCTGAAATTCCAACTTAACTGTGTATCCTGTATTTTATTCAGCAACCCTACTTGAGGTGGATGTCCAAACGCTCTTCTTTTTTGAGGTATTCCTCCATTATGAGCCTGGAAAACAAGGCTGAGGCCTCCTACTGTGGAAACGAAGGGAAGCACATATTCCCTCTTCACAAGTTCTGAGTGGTTAGGAAGCCCATGGGGGACCCAGGCTCTCACTGAAGACTTTGGATCTTGGAGGGTTTATACAAAAAGTGACCATTTTGAATCCATTCATAGAAATGGCTTCTAGCAGACCAGAATGTCAGATCAGTGGGGTCCAGATGTAGCAGTGTTTTTGCGGTGGTGGTGGTGTGTAGAGGTGGTAAAGGTGGCTGTTGCTGGTAGTGACATACTAATCAAGCTGGTCCTATGGCAAATCTTGACTGGGGTCCTCCTATGATTCCTGACAATTTCTTTATCCTGGTTTACCTGCCTTTCTGTTGATTCTGCGAAATGCCCAATAATTTGCTAAATTCAGCTAGAGTCAGTTTCTGTTGTTTGCAACCAAGAGCCCTAACATTTATAAATACAAGCCCAGATGGACTGGAGAAAAATTGAAATACTGATATTGCCAAACTCTTTTGTATTCCTAAAATTGGAATTTTAAAAATTCTCCTCACCAAATGACTGTTAAGGGAAAGGAATTTAGCATTTTCCAAAATAAGCACTAGATGGTGCTATGAGATAATACGTTCGTGATTGTATCATTGTCCAAATAATAAGGATTAAGATCACCAATAACACCATCACCAAGGATACTGTCAACAAGAATAGCTAACATTGAGTGCCTCATATATGCCAGAAACTGTTCTACGTGTTTTACAGAGTCGTAAACCAAAAATAAAATTCTAAGACCTCTGCCCCCCAACCAACTGATGGACCCTCTCCTTGGCCAAGTGCATTCCAAAATTAACTTGGAAAACTAGTTCAGGCCGTGATGGGAAGTGGATGTCAGACATGCCTCATTATGCCCCTCTCCCTCTTGGAATTCAGGCACAGCTGACTAGAATTAATATCAACACAGAGACCTTAAGACTGATAGAGGCACAGCGGCTCATGCCTGTAATCCCAGCACTTTGGGAGGCCAAGGTGGGTGGATCACCTGAGGTCAGGAGTTCGAGACCAGCCTGACCAACATGGTGAAATCCCATCTCTACTGAATACCAAAAATTAGCTGGCTATGGTGGCACATGCCTGTAATCCTAGCTACTTGGGAGGCTGAGGCAGGAGAGTCACTTGAACCTGGGAGGTGGAGGTTGCAGTGAGCCAAGATTGCACTACTATACTCTAGTCTGGGCAACAAGAGCAAAACTCTGTCTAAAAAAAAAAAGACTGAGAGAGCAGACTCTTAAGTATGATAAGAAACATTTATAATCTATTCGCTCTGAAGTCTCCTATCTGGAGGCTCCATCTACATGACAAAACCTTGGTCTCCACAATCCCTTATAGTAACCTAGACATTCCTTTCTATTGATTCCAGGTCTTTAGATGATAACTCTTTCAACCAATTGCTATGAAAATAAATACATAGAAAATCTTTTAATCCATCTATGACTTAGAAGCAACCCCCTCACCCCTGCCCTTGCTTCCAGTTGTCCCTCCTTTTCCAGATAGAACTAATGTACATCTTACATGAATTAATTGATATATATCCTTAAAATGTATAAAACCAAGCTGTAGCCCAACCACCTTGGGCACATGTTCTCAGGATCTCCTGGGGCTTGTGTCATGGGCCATCGGCCACTCATATTTGGCTCCGAATACATCTCTTCAAATATTATTTTACAGTTTGACTCTTCATTGACAGAGTGAACTCATTTCTTAAAACCAATGAAGCAAGTAATTGTATTAACACATTTTACAGAAGAAGAAATCAAGGCATATTCAGGTTAGCTAACTTATCCAAGATCAGAAAATCATTTACTGGTGAAGATAGACTTGAACCAAAGAAGCCTGGCTGCAGATGCTGTACTCTGAACCAAAATGCTCTACTACCTGTTGTAATTATATAATATAGCCGACATTTACTGATGGCCAACTGTGAGCCAGGCATTTTGCACAATGGGGTCATTATTGCCATTTTCCGTATGAGGGAACCGAGGTTCCAAAAGGCTAAGTAATTCATGTTTCCACAGACAGAGACACAAAGCTGAGAGCATTTGTAAATGTAATTCCATGATGTTAGTAATGAAATGAAAATAAATACATAGATAAAACACTAATGTTTGTCACTTTAGAGAGCAATTTCACTTTGGGCAGAGGGAAAAATATACTTTGAAAATGATTGATTTACATTCCAATTGTTCTGTAAAAAAATTAAAAAATATATGATTGGCATGATAAATGATTTCCTTTTCATTTCAGCTCTTCAGAGAAGTGTAGACAAAATATTTTCCCTCTTTTGATTTTTCCCTTTAGGAGCCAAAGGCAGTATGAAAGCTAAAGGTACAATTAGAGCCTGGCTTATTTGGGCTCTTGCATTTCCTAATTATGAGGATGAGTGTGTC